CCTATTATGTACAATAGCGTCTTGATCAGTAACATTCCATAAGTAATTGATCAAAATCTTTGAAAATCAGATAAATTCCATTTCATGTATTTCTTTTTGATAAAGTAAATGTTAGTTTTTACCATCCTCCTTCCATTTTATAGTGATGTCAAGGTGTAACTTGTTATTCTTTTAATGTTTCATAGTAAACTGGATACTTTGATGAGCGTATTTGAAAAGGTTCAGCAGATATTTTGCTTATTGTTAACAAAAACACCGTCAACATACCTCGCATAATACAGCATTTTACCAATAGCTTCTTTAAATTTACTCTTTTCAAGATAAACCTTGAATATATATATCATTACTTACAACTTTTTTATTCCTTCAATCTCATTACATTCTGTTTGAATCGCCAACCCATCATAATTGATATGGTGACCCAATCAGAAGTAACTAAATGAGGTCACTTGTGGGTGATCTGAAATGACCTGAAGGACAAGTGAATATAATTGGCCAAAAAATGGATTAGTTTTCTAAAGGGTAGATAGGAATGTATATAAATGAGTATTTGTGCAAGCTATTAGATAGACAAATATGTCTTCTCGCTTGCTATTATGTTCTCGCTCAAGTAGTCAAGTGGGAGATTAGCGTGTAGCATCCCAGTGCCCAATTTTGGGGAAAATGGCATCTAAACCCCGAAATTCCCCCTAAATCTTGGTAAAGGTCATTTGACTTAGCGGATTTCACCAAATTTCCCAAAACTTGGGACATTGTGTATCAATATTAGATCTCGGATACCGCCCATTATAACAATAATGATATATACATATAAACATCTAGACAATTTCAATGTAATAAATATATTTTTTTATTATTTTAAAATACTATCGGTTACAAGCTGCTGATAGGAAACCCTAACGAAATGAATCTATGTTATTTTGCTGAATTCTTTGTTCGTGCTTTCTTAAAGATAATAAAGTTTATGTAGTAAGATTTTCATAGTTAAATTGTTTGAAACATTAGTCACTGTACGTTCATATTATTTTTGAAAAGGAATTATATATTGTGTAAAAATGACTCGTATATGGTAACAATTCTGTGAAGTCACTGAATATACGTCTCTGCCTCTGATGTGTTAAAAAGTACAGATCTACTGATTGATATACGCAAAATCATATCCAGATTAGCGGCTGTCTTTTTGCGATAACAAAGTTAAAAATCTAGCAAAATGACGTATATAAAATCAGTTGTCATTTATCTAAATTTTAAGCTTCTTGCTCTTTCACATACTTTTTTTCATATCCCCTTGTATTCTGTCCAATGTTCATCTTGTAACTTTCCTCTTTTGATTGAATTTCGCTTTATATTGGTTTATAGAAATCTCAGTAATTTGAATCAATAAACATTGTACATATTCTATGTTATTATATGATTGTAACTAGTGAAGTGACTAGCTAATTAAGATGAGTGAAGGGTTCTTAACACTGTTACCTACCGTTAAGTGAAATACTTAATATTAGAAATGTTATTTGTATTAATTTTTCCTTATCAAGTTGTAAAGTAGTCGATACTGCAGTTTGATGAAAGAAATTTAGTATTCTTTAAAATAAATTTTCTTCGATTAAGAATAGATCACGGTGACTTTTAGCTGCGATACTTGGATTGAATAATTCTTCAGTGATCTAGTCAAAATTTATTGGAACAGAAGAAGAATGAACTTAGGTTATTAAGGTATCTTAACTAAATCTGACTCACGGAATTGCTTAATCTCAAATTACTTGGTGACTAAGACTCAGAATATGAAAAGTTCACGAACAATGTGTTTCAAATGCATCAGAGGATAAAATCAGTGATGTAGAGTGCAAACTGGGCAGGAAGTAACTCATTGTTTAACAGACAGACAAGAGTTCGAAGAAATACTCCTCAACAGTGCTAATCCATGGCCCTGCACGCGGGACTCGAATCCCGGACCTTTGAATCTCGCGTACATACGCTTAACCTCTAGACTATTGATCCGACATCCAACGGTGTTAATATCTAACTTCAAATAATTCACGAAATTGAGCGACACATCCACCATTGTCTTCCGTGAGTTACTATCTCACAACAGTGATTCAGTTGTCAATGAATTAATGGACCGATGCCTAGTTTTGATTTAGCCGCACCCAAGTTTCTTCTACTTAACTCCCACACTAGTTATCACCCGTCGAGGTAAGCCGTGATTGCGCATACGTATGACACTTTCCAACCACCTCAGTTGATGAAGATTTACTACTTCATCAATCGGTTTGCCAGTCTTACCTAATACTTTGTTCTTATCCCAGTAATTGCTTACCTAGTGATCCAGAAATACACGGGCAATGCTTCGAAGATACTTATGATCAAATACCGGTAGCCTACCAATGTCCTCTACTCTTAATAGACACGTTTCACATCCATAAAGTAGGACTACTGAGTAGTAAACTCGTCCTTTAGTTTACAGACAGATATTTCTCCTACGCCACAAGTGACTTAATTTGACAAAAGCCAGTCAAGCATCCTGAATCTGTACCAAGATATCGTCAGACACTAAACCATCATGAATAGTGAGACTTCCAAGATATGTGCAGCAGTCAGTGAGTCCAGACAATTCACCCACCATCGATTCAGGAGCCAACGCAAGTCAATCCTGAAGCGACATTTCACACTTCGAAGGAAGCGAAGAATCACATTGAAAACATACATGAATTGTGGTGGTCAGAAGACTGTATTTTGTCAGCGTATTTACCAAGCAAATCCATATCTCCTGCGTATTTTCGGTTAACAAATGAATTTTCTGATAAGTCAACCCCTGAAAAATCAGTCCATATACCCATTTTTATGTGCCCAGTTATACGTACATAAGTGTGAAACGAACGAGTTCTAGAACCGTAAATATTTACCACTGGTTTCCAGAATATTCAGCTGTTCCATAAAGGCAAATGTTTTAAGACAGTAGAGTTAGTCGAACGATATAATCTGAACAAATTTTATCAAATAAAGCTTGTAAATGGATCTGAAATAAGCAGTCAGTCAGTCAGTAACAACGTAGAACTTCGTACGTACGTACATCAGTTCGAGTTGCCACACCACATTAGCACAGAAATGCACTTGTCGATTCAAATCCCGTAGTGATAGAGGTAATAAGAGTATAAGCAGTAATCGGGAAGATTAGGGTTTGAAGATGTTATTTAAAGAGTATAATACAGTGAAAGAAATTTGGAAAGAGGAAAAAAGGGACATGAAGAATTCAGAAGATTAGAGTTTGGGAGAACACAGAGAGTGGATGCACCTGCGCCATTGCAAACGATTTTGAGCCATGTCATTCCGGGTCTCTAACCATCGGTTGCTGTCATCTCGCGGTCCCCAACCAGGTAGTCTACACCTACCAACATGACTCAGTTCACTTGTCAGTGACTTCATTGACTTGTGCCATGTTTTGGTTTGGCCGCCCCTAGCTTTCTTCCAACCTACTCCTATACCACTGAAATAAGCAGGTTATCCAGAATGCACGACATCACTTCTGAAAAATGATATTTTCATTCATGTTTATTTTGAAACACTGGCAAGTATTTCTTTATCTATGGCGCAATTTTACTCTAAAAATCACCTTAGCGAAACAATATAAGAATCAGATTATGTTCGATGGTCAGAGTAGATAAGCAGTGTAGAAATCAATTAGAGATCTTACCAATGAGCTCATTATGCCATTCCCGTCCACCATTTTTAGGATTGAGATGCAAACACCCTAATATGTAAATAAGTTGTTAGAAATCTTATGTTGTCTATGCTTGAGCAGTGGTCGAATTCTATTAACTACTATTTATTGTATTCTATAGAGCGAATAGTCAAACATATAGGTAGCGTAATTTTTCAGCAAAGTACATTAAATATAAGACCAAACAACTGGTACATTTTTCGCTTACTTAAACTCGACACAAATTTGAAGCTTCAGCTCGTCTATCTCTATATCGGAAACTCCGGTCTAAGACAAATATAAACCCGTGTCTTCTTGCATTACTTTCAAACGTTAAGTCATGACTAAATTTTTACTATGTATAGTATTATTCAGTAGTCTATAGTCATAATTAGCACTAAACGGTAGAACCAAATAAAAGTCGTATTGTATATAATTGGGACTTCTAACTGGATAATCACACTCAATATATTTTATACCTGTGATTATCCCACTGTAATTTTGTAGAACTATCGTAGCGAATGAAAAGAGAACTGTATTATTTTTTCGACATATCAGCCATAAAGATATGATGAATACTGAGACAGGTAATTGCAGTCATCATAATGACTAAGAAGAATCTGACAGTTTAACTAAATACTGTTGCTATTGAAAATTCCACAGGAATATTAGTCATCAAAGTATATCCCACCACGAAGAGATGCGAATTAGATAACAAGTTAATTCGAACAAAACCAACGATTAACTGATAAAACAATAAGTGATATTTGAAATAATACTTATGCAACATATAAATATTTATGCATAAGAACTTGTAGAAATCAAAAATCAGAAACACAATAGGATGTATACACACCAGAATAATGTTTGATGATATACAATCGTAACAAAGAAAAACTGTAATAATATTCTAATAAACAATGAAAGTGACATGAAAACCAACTTGCAAATACACATGCTTATTTGTAAGTAGTATATTTAAGTTCAAACAACATATTCATCACTCACACAATAATTTTTTTATAATTTCCCACAAAGAGCAAAAACATGTGGACACAGTTTGAAAGGATGAGTAAATTACGAAAAATGAAATGAGTGTATCGCGAAAAAATGAGCAAATGTATTAGTTCTGGTAATACTTATATGTTGATATTACTGGAAATTTAAAACACAAATGATTGTCGTAGTAAATTAAAACAGTGTCCATTTCTAATAGGTTCAGTAGGGTAAAAGTAAACATATATGTACTACTAAAATCATATTTATACATTATTATGTCAAATGCAACAATTTTCAATGTAATTCATGTTAATGCTGTAGCTGGCATAGTATTTGTATTTGGTGGATTAGGAAATGTTAAATTTAAAGAAGTTGGACAAAATTCACCACCATTTATTTTAGACATACCAATATTTGAATTCGTTAAAAAGTGTTCAACAGATACAGCGGCAGCAGCTGCCGCCGCTGCAGGATGTATAACTGCTTGTGTATGTGGATCGAGAAAAGCACAACCCTCACACTTTGTTTTTTCACAATCTCCTACATTACCAACAAGACTAAATGCATTGTTGTTATTATTACTGCTAATAGGTGTACACCGCTGACTACGTTTTTTATGTGCGCTATAACTACTGTTATCGGAAAATGATCTGCCGCAAAATTCACAACGATACGGTCTTTCACCGGTATGTATTCGTCTATGTTTTACCAGACTACTTGATACGGAAAAACTTTTGCCACAATCACAACAATGATATGGACGTTCTCCAGTGTGTATTCGTTTATGCGCAGATAAACTACTTGAATCGGCAAACGCTCGACCACATTGCATACAAGCAAATGGTTTTTCACCTGTATGAGTACGACGATGTTTAACTAGATCACTGGCACGATGAAATGATTTTGAACAATCTGTACAATGATGACGTTTTACACGTTCATTAGAATTAGTTGAATGACGTACAGTTACACATCGATTTGATTGGACATTATTGTTGGAAGTAGTAGTAGTAGCAGTAATGGTATTATTTCCACTATTAGTAGGTATTATACTAGGATTAATGTTGCCATTATTACTGGTAACAATCTGCTGTATATGCATAATTTCATCCTTAGAGTTACCTAAATTACTCCTGAATGAAAGTTGTCCACAATTCAGAATTGAGTGAATCTTTTTTTCAGCCTGGTGAGATAAAGTTGCACGAGCACAAAGCGCGAGATGGTTAAAATCATCAGCTAAAGGTACGCGACTAAACATTTATGTGTTTCAGAGTGGGAGACTTCTAAATGGTGAAAATATTGACACAATAAAACTGATGTGGAACGAGGCAGTCAATTAAAGAAAGGTAGTATACACGAGCATTTGTTTTAAAAAAATCTACAAAAAAAAACAAGAAAAGTAGTCAATAACATACACATAGGTTTAAAACGTTATTTATTAAACAACTAAGTAGTAGCTTGAACTTAGAATTTAAATCCTGTCTCACTGAAAAAAATAAAATTCCTAAACAGCTTAGGAAACCGTTGGATTAATGTGAAATATGAGTTTGAATACTTATTAGCATCATCCGTTTGCAAACATCAGTTACAAATAAAGACGAATGGCAGGTAATAGAAGAAATCACTGCACTAAAACTATAGTGACACAAGTGTATGTTGACTTGTATGGTGTTTTGATTACCTTAATTTTGAAATGTTTACAATGACTCAATGAGCCCCATGTTATCATCCACAAAGCATCAATATGAAAGTAACAATATCGAAACACTCTTCTCACTCACTAAAATCAAGTACTCCTCAAACCTTATCGATTGTAATGATTCACAACTACTGGATTTCATGTAATTGAATCCCTAAAAACTTCACAAAAAATTCCCTAACCATGTTGTTTGTAAAGTAAAAATATTTTAGGTGCATTAGTGAAAGAAATTAGGCGTGTACGAAATAAAATTTACTCAGAGAACAAATGAAGCAAAAAAATACCGGAGGATGTTTCCAAAGATAATTAACCATTTATTCATAAACTATCTGTAATGACAACCATGAAAAAATAACGAATAGGTTTCACAGATGTTCCACAGAATCCCACGCTACACATTATTTTTTTTGTACTAGCAATGGGCGGAAAAAGTGGGGGCGGTCAAGTTACGGCAAGGGGCAGTGGAATAAAAGATAACTGTATTGGTTCATCAAGACCCCATAGATGGGTTTCTAATGCTCATGCAACTTAGTGGGTTTAACCGTTATAAGGAATGTTCCAGAGTATGAGCTAGTGGAGATCCTGGTTTGCTAGTCAGTCATAATCAACAGAGTCGTAGATAAATGTGCGTCAACACAGGTTTTCGTATCACATTAGCATAAGATAAAATTGGTAAGACGATTATGAAGTAGGATTTTCTACCATTTTTTTTAAAGGCAAGAGTTGCATTTGAAAATAAAAGGTCCACCTTGAAATTAAAAATGAGATTTAAATTTATGAAAATCACAGCGACTGAAACAACAACCTTACCGCCCCTCCCCAATAGTCCAGTACAATCAACTTCAAAATCTACTTCGACAGTCTTTAACTAAACTGTATCTTTAAACAACACTACTCTTGTTCATTTATGTAGCTATCATATGGTTTTTCCTGATATACACTTCTCAGTGTTGTCATTTTATTCACCCTAGTGCATATTTTGTACTCTATTAAACCGAATTCCTTTTGTTAGAAACTCAAAGTTACAAATTCCATCCAACCTGGCTTTTAGAAAAACTTTAGCTGGGACACTGGTCCTGAATACGAACCTAGGATGAACGCTGGATTGGATCTTCTGAGCCTACTATTCAATATTTGTAGCGCTGCGGCGAACCGCATTAATTGGAAAAATTTTAATTTATTTTCCCGTGACAACCAACAGGTTATTATGTACTTATTAGAACACAAGCTTCGGTACAAGGAGGCACCAAATAGATACGCGCCACATAAACCATTCGATTTATATGAGCTCTAGGATCCTCCGTATCCACGACAAACGCTTGTTGAACTCTAAGGAGAACTTAGGATTGTATGGCAAACTCTACCCCCAAATAAACGGTTTAAAAAGATTTTTACGGTGTATTTGACTTATCTGCCAGTAGTTATAAGAAGTATGCTGATTCAAAATAATTGACTGTCATATCCTAAAATTCATGACAGTGGGATAGCAATGAGACCAAAGTACCTAGGTGTGGACAGTAATTGCCTGACAACCCGAGAATCTGCAAGTAAAGACTAATCGAAAAGAGGGGAAAAACAAAATCCGGTGGACATATTCTTACTCCAGATGAACGATACTCGATTTGGTAAATGCAACTTGCGATCTCTTGAGACAATTTAACTAAAAAACGGCCGGCCGTCACAGTCAGGCTCACCTCGAATTTATTGGGTTGTTCTGGCCAATACAAAAGTTACTTCATTATCGACAAACGTTTTAAAAGCCCATTTTCTGACGAATAATCACTATTGAGAAATAATTGAGGGAGTTGTAAGAAAGGAATTATGGCTAGAGACCACAAACAGTGCATAAAAAGGCGCATGAAGTTTTCTTATAGAAAAGAGATTTCCTACTGATTCATCAACTCAAGTTCATTTCGTTATACAAATCTTAGTGCTCAATATTACCGGGATTTCCCCAGAATAATGAAAACAAGAAACCGTTAATATTTGTCAAACAATACAAGACGTAAGCCCTTGAAAACAGAGTTGATAGTTTAATATTAGTGAAACGCAGAAATAACTACGATACCAAACAGACAGTTACCTACAAGGTTACGCCAAATGCAAATCCCGAGCCTATAGACTTTAAGTATTGATGGCGAACTTCAATTTTCAATCTATCTACAGCAAATAACTGTAAAACAAATCAAGAAAACATGAAAATTGCACCAGGAAATAGGGTAATTCGTAACATAGAGTATCAGATTTACGACCATAGCATCAAGTTGCTATAAATTTTAAGCAAAATGATTAAAAACACCGCATAAAATGGAGTGAAAAGAAGTTTATGGATGATAAATAGTCGTGTATACAATCGCATATCAAGGACTCCATGATTTTTGAAGGCATAGAGAGAAGTGCTACTGGTCGGTGGCTCGAAGGTTCGTTGCATCGACCTCCATTGAAAACTGGTGTGATGTGGAACAGTTTCCAAATTGCCGGTAATGTGCCTCGGTTCTGCGAATGTGAGAACAGCACGATAAGCAGTGTTGCCAAGATTAGGGCTGCTCCGATCAGTATATCAGAATGGACCATATTCGGGCCAGGAGCAGTGTTCTTTTCTAGGCACTGCGGCAACCGGTACACCAAATCAGTGATCAGGTTCACCTTTGAAAGTCCTCTTGAGTTGCAGATGAAGCTTTCATCAATATAGTCAGTGTGGGTCAGTTAAAATGCCCGGGAGCACTGTTCAGCCAGAATGTTAGCGGCTTCACCGTCGTTGTTGGTTGCGCCATTAGGATCTAGCACACGAGAAACTCTAATTTTGGCTTATGGAAGAGAGGCTGCATAACGGGATAAGGTATTCAGATTGGAAACAAATTTATCGATAGGCTTTATCTGGTACTAAGGCCTGTCTTCTATTATCGCCTTTGTGCATATTTTTCTTATTTGTTCGTATTGCCTGCATGCGCCGTTATTACCAGTTCGTTTGTATAACGCCCAGCAGTACCTTTTGCGGCCTAGCAAACGACGAGTGCTATTCTTGATGACTATAGGTTGTTTGTAGGTTTTGGGGGCCGTTAGTGAAACAAACTGCTTTGAAGCGCATAAGACCGTGTGTGGTAATAAATCCCAATGGGCATATAGTTGGCAACTGGCGCCTGTTAGCACAAATTGCTAAGTTGAAGCCGCCATATTGGACGATGGGGAGGTTATTTTTATCAGCCAAGGTCTAGAATCCCCATCCTTCTTGGCTAGTCTCACCACTTGTCGATTCAAAGTGTTTTTGAGCTCCAAAGACTGCCTGATGAATTTCCATTCCCGAATATCAGATTTTGTGTGTTTAGGGTTCGTTTTTTCTGGTACACCTTCTGCAAAATCTTCCTGTGAAATACCTTAGTAATGTTCCAGATGAGATTGCACCCAGTAGACGGTAAAGCAAGCAGGATTCTTACATTGCCATCTGGTTTCATCCTCTAAGTCGGTGGCGTTAATGAGCGTTGCACGAAGTAGTCTTAGGTGATGTTGATGGATAAAGTCCTCTCCCCGACCAAGCCGTCAAAGGCTCTATTTTGAGAAGTTCGGGCTTCTTTTTCAACTCTTCCCAGAGCATCCTATCATTTTGTAATGCAGGCTAAGGAGAAGGTCAGGGCTATCTTTAAGGTTCATGATTATGAGAGAATAAGCTCAAACCATGATTATTTTACCGGGTTTTCGGGTACGCTCAGATTGAGGAACTTATTTTTTCGTGTTTGAAGTGTGTCTCAGATTCCTGTGCTTTTTGTTGACCGGTTGGACAGTCTTGGATGTAGGCTGTACGGCTGCTCTCGTACAATCAATTCCGATTACGATTAATTTTTTAAGTCGCCTTAATAACTTACTTAACAGATAATCCTATTCTAGCAGTTACAATTCGTTTATTTATTTGTGTTATTATGGTCACTCTCTTGTCTGTACAAATGTGTATTCTTGATCACATGACAGCCTATGGACATATCTCTCTCTAACTTAAATGTTGACAGCCTAAATATCGCTCGTTGAATCATTCTCTTTCCTGTTCATATATTTACTCGAATCCCATTATAGCTTTTACCGTACATAGATGCGCCCTTATTCGATGTAACTATAAATTCACCTCTGTATTCGCACACACACACACACACATTCGACTCTCTGCTTCAAATTTGCTCGATGTGACTGTAGCTTTTTTATCCGCGCTATCCAATAGTAAACTGCAGTCGCCGCTTCTTATTGCCTTCTGATCATAAATACCATTGAGATTTATATAACAACGTTTACAAAGGTGATTAATTAACGAAACTAAGTTATTACAAGTTTTCTATTAACTTGAGATCAATTCACGGAAAGTTAAATCATATATGTCAATAAATAAGCAATCAGGATTAAGTTCCATGTATGGATTTTTTAAACAATATATCGTTCACAACGCGTAGATTGATTTTTAGAGAAAAATTGACTAAAATTGTATGATCATATATACACTGGATATTTTACTGAAAAATAAAGGTGAACATTCTAGTAACTCGACTATAAAAGACAGAATACATAAAAAAATATGGCGTACATTTCATTTTGAATGATTTTATCGAGTTTTTGATATGGTGTATAGTATTGATCCAGTTGATTTTCATGGGTCTTTAAGTCAAATATAATATTTTCACCTAATTCCATTCAATATAATATTAGAATAAATAAAGACTATACTGTTGTTCATTTGATGAGATTATTACAGAGTTCAAATATGTAAGGTGTGAATCAGTGATTACTAATGATAATGGATGTTTATGACTGTATTTCATATTTGAAATTGTAAAATAATGGTTGGAAGATTAATGGATGCTACAAGACCTAGAGGTTCTTGGTTTGAACCCTAGTATGGCCATGACTTCATTGCGCTGAAGCATTTCGTATTACGATGAAGTCGTTATCCACAGCACGGCCTTATTAGAACAAGGTCGTACAGTACATGTATGATAGACTTCTTTCACGAGGTTACTCGTATACGTGACCAGAAGAAACTAGTTGTTATACTATACGTCTATGTTAAGAAAGCCTTTGATAAAGTACCTAATAACCTCCTAATCAACAGGCTTAGGTCAGTTAGAATTATAAATCCCCTTTTGCAATGGATCAAGTATTTTCTTACGAACAGGTACCAAATAACCAGGATTAACTGTACACATCTACACCTCGACCAATATCCAGTGGTGTTGTGCAGGTTAGTTTCTTGGGTCCAATGCTCTTTATAATCTACATCAACAATATATGCAAGTGCTTTAGCACAGGTAAGACCTACCTCTGTGCCGATGACTTAAAAGTCATTTATAAAACTGACATTTGCGATTTACGCAATACTATGCAAACAATCCAACATGAACTCAACATGGTAGATGACTGGTGCAAACGCTGGAGGTTAGAGCTCAACATAGAGAAATGCGGCTGGTTATGTATAGGAGACACGTCTCTTAAAATGAAACTAACTCTTAGCAATCACACACTGCCCAGACTGGCATCAGTAACTGACCTAGGGGTAAAATACTCAGGCAGTCTTAATTTCTCTGAACACATCTCAGCCAAAGCATCCAAAATGAGGAAATTGCTTGGCTTCATTCTCCGTAATTTCTATCAAAATGAATCTAAAATCCTTCTTTATAAAGTCTGTGTAAGACCAATCGTTGAATACTGCTCGTTCTCACTTTCCAACCTCCGCCTATCTGATATATTAAGATGGAAGGAATACGACGAGACTTCACCCGCAAAGTTCTTAAGACTGACTCACTCATTAACTACAGTTCCCGATGCCAAATCTCAGGAATAGCACCCCTTTGGGAGAGAAGGCTTAGGTCTAATTTGATTCTCTACTTCAAACTACTCAAAAACCTTACTTATTCAACATGTAAGATAATTCTCTCCCGAGATTCACATGAATACGAACTTAGAAACAAAGTATCTACCATCAAAGTTGAGAAATACAAATCAAAAACTCGAGAAAACTTCTTCCTCACCAAGTATGCAATAATATGGAACAGTCTTCCCTCCGAAATTCGCATGGCAGATGAATTACATACGTTTGTAAAACTGCTTGATCAAGCCCTCACTTGCACTGATCTTGCACGTACGAACACAGCTGCGCCCCACTCAGACATCATAGGCTCTCTCCATGTCTAGACCAAAATGGACTTCAAGTTCAGTTTGCCTTATTTTTCCTACTTTGAAGTTGTATCAGCTACTTTTTACACCCTATTTCCTCACTTGAATTAGACAGGTAACTCTCTGGACCTATCGATACTGTTAAACTTAACTCGGTCGCTAAGGGACATTCACTACCACCCTAAAAAATCAAGAGAACCGCACAATCGACTGCCTACTACCAGTTGTCTTGCATCTATGGAGCCTGTTACCCATCAACTGGTTAGGACAGCACAAAATAACATCAGAACCAAGTTAGTGTGAGTACATTCCTGTCTATTTTTTATTAGCTTCTTACTCTTCTGTACACTATGCTGACCAGCGATAATTATTATTTTTCCACTCGTTATCTTATCTACAAGTCATATACTTCTATACTTTTCCTCCTGCTTTAACAAACAACCATCCTACAATATACCCTTCTTACTGCTTATACTCTAATTGGCAAACTATATTTTATACTATGGCTAATTAAAGCACTGTATCGATGCCTTACCCATAGTCCATGACTTGTAACTGCCTGATAAGCTTGTAAAGTGGTACTTATAGAAATAGTGTTTTTCAACAGGATTTGAAACACAGAGGATTGCGTGAGGTATGACATCCAGAAATAAGCTTAAATGAGCCTAAAATCACAATAGAAGGGAGGGTGAAGTTACTGACCAGCAAGCTTTGATGGTGAGAGCGATGACTTCAATCCACCCATGTTTGTGGGGCAGAACATTTTGTATTTATCAGGCTCTTTATGATTGAGAATAAGTCAATCAATCTGTGATATAGAGTGTCTTCCTACGCTCACCACTAAGACCAATATTACCAAATTTGTGCTGGATTATCTATTCTACTAAAACAACCTATAACATGCTAACTCGGACTTTTACACTAGGATTGTGTGGCTGGCATCGGATAAACAAAAAAAAGAAAAGAAGGAAAAAATTAGATAATAAAAGACATAGACGTTAGTGTCTTTAACACTCCACCCTCTATATGCACACTCCCTTCTAATAAACCGCTTTCCTTGTGCCAACCTTGACTTTCCTTCCTTCATGTGAGCATACTCCAACTTGTTAAGCATCACAACTCATTGTTCTTTATTACTACATTCTCTTATATGAAGCCTCTGACTTCATTTCACTCTAACAAGAGATGATATGAATTTAATCTAATTTATTATACCTCTGTCTGTTCTACTACACAATGTTAAGCACCGTTTGGCGTTCATATCCAAATGCCTTGTTGCTTTTCTGTTTCTCTTTTCTTGATAATCTTGCTCTGAGGGGACAGCAATGGAACTTCTGACGTCTGGAACAAACTTGACCTACGCGTCTCCTCAAGGCCATGGCTTGCAGCAAGTGCTCTACGAGTCTACTTTGTAAAAACTATAAACTTAATAAGTTGGGAAGCATGCTGTGCGCCAACAAATGTTGTAATTTATAGGTCATACCTGTAAAAATGGCGTGTACCTGCTCATGCAGAAATATATTATTATTATTATCATCATTATTATTAACTCTTCCTAGTTTCTAAAACTGCCCTAAATAAGGTCAGCTTTTGACGACTAACACCTACAGGTGATTATAGTCTAAAGTGATATTAGGAATCAGGTTTAACATTTGAACCCTCTTCGTTCCACCCTGAACGAAGCAGATGTTATCTAGTATTGACCTTGTAAACTCGTAATCAGAAACATTTCATGAATACAGTTGCTGTCCTTGTATCTCACAACAAATGAGTAAGTTAACTAGTGGTGACTGTAGTCGTACCAACTGTATTGTTATACTTTTGTAGTCAATTAACTAAATAGTTCAGGAGTACAGTGGGTCAAACAACCCGAGTAGCTAACATCACTTCCACAACGAAATAAAATATTGTACTTTTAAATGTCCGCGTACATGCTTTTAAAAATTGTACATGCTTTGCTGTATTTCTTTGTTCGTTGAATTTAGTCAACTGACATACTGTTAATGGAGAATCCACATATCAGAAAAATGAAATTAATTACACCTAAATTGATCACAAAATCGCCGAGCGTTATTCAAGCAGTACAAATATGTACGACAACTGAATTGAACAGCAGAACATATAATAATAGTATTAGCCTTTGCCTTGCCTAGGTACGCCCTTATTCGATTTGACCATAAACTCACCTCTGTATTCGCTCGCACACATATCCGCCTCTCTGCTCAAAATTAACTCGATGCGCTTATAACTTTGTTATTCATGCTATCCTCTAATACACTGAAGTCGCCGCCTCTTATTATCTTCTGATTTCAAACACCGTTGAAATTTTTATAACAATGGTTATCGAGGTGATTGATTGACTAAGTCACTAGACATATCAAACTACAGTACACTAAAGTTAATCATGCCTTAGCCTTATTCGTCGCCAGATAATAGAAGTTCCCGTTTTGGTTTTTTCGAATCACTTAACTTTCATTATTTGTGACTGAACAATAATTCAGTCAAGTAGGATGTAATAAAAACGTTTCTGTCAGCACTTGGGGGGCTCGTATTAAACTTGAAGTCATCATTTGGCCAGAGTTATTGCCAGATGTAGTGCATCTTCACAGTTCTCTTGATAATTCTTCTACATACGTTGAGCAGCAAAGATGCGGAAAAAATTCACCGTTCTCATAAAAATTAAATGCGGCCTGTAACCCTCAGAAAATTAAATATACTTTGAAGAAGGAAACCAGTTCCGTTGATGAAAATGGAGATGTTTTAATATTCCTATACCTAGGCACGACGTGCCTCAGTATATAGGAAATGCAAATGGAGCATGGAATCGGTAAATCCTAGATTTTTTAAAGTACATAGTGTAGGGATACAATAGATACAAGTAACCCTGAAGTCAAGCATCTAGTGGATACCCGCCTTCAATTTCGTGCACCGTCGATAACACAAGTTTACACATCTTTTCCTGCATTTAAATTTGCCCTGTAACACCCAGATATATCCATTTTAGATCACGCAGAATTTTCCAGAAGATTCGTCGTACGTTGTGAGCCAAAGCTTGCGAAACTTGTGTGGATGATTACTTGTGAAATAATCCAAATGACTGTTCACAACTTAGTTGGAGATAGATAGAACATTAGGACAACTGAACAGAAGAAGCCATGACGTAGATGGTTGGAAAATCCCGATCAGTGGTCTATACTCCAAAAGGGTAACGAAAGTAAATACGTTAGTAAGTGAGAGGTCTTTGCTCGATCCTAAACGGTCGACGCTTGGAAGTTTTATTCTGCTATTCCAGTCTTTCCGCCATCAGAAACATCCCACTGAGATTACAGTTCACATTTTCTTTCTTCACTTTTAAATTCGAGTGTAAAGTTGACTCGAATCATATTTTCTAGGTACTAAGCCCTAGTATAAACAGTCAATATTTGAATCACAGAAGTCTAGTTGATAGTTAACTTTTAATCAGTCTTAAAGCATTTAGAGTGGTCAAGTCATAATTAAGAGAAAAAAAGTTGTATGAACCG